CGATCGCCTAGCTAGCGAAAGGAAGCAGATAAATTAAAGCTACTTCTGAACTCTCAGAACGCGCAGTGCTAGAGTCTCTTACCGAGACTATCATAAAAAATATGATATTCAACTTCCAGATGAAGTACGTGATGGTGCTTACAAAGAACTGTTCAATCCAGAAACCCTATTAGCAGGCATGGAAGATGCAGCAGGTAACTTTGCCCGCGGCTACTACACACTTGGCGGGAAGGTCGTGGGCGCGCTAATCAATTCAATGCGCCGGCTGATAGAGAAGTGCGACAACTTCGAAGGCATGATGACCTTTTCAGCGCTGGGCGGTGGTACAGGCAGCGGACTGCTCTCCATGTTTCAAGAGCGAGCCTGCCTCGAATTCGCCGGTCGTAAAATGCTGCAGTTTAGCATTATTCCCTCCGATCAGATGGCCATCGGGCCTGTTGAAGTGTATAACTGCATGCACCACCTCTATCATTCCTCCGACTTCTGTGATCTCAATATCTTTCTGGACAACTCGGCGCTTTTTAATATCTGCACCAAGGAGCTGGCGGTCATACGACCTACGTACACTACAGTGAATCGGGTTATCGGTCCCTTGGTCGCCGGCCTCACTGCATCTGTGCGCTTTAAATGCAATATCAACGGCACTATCTCAGAATTCCTTACCAATCTCATCCCTTTCCCCGCAATTCACTATCCTATGATTACCTTCGTTCCATTCTGTACCAATATGGAGGCAGAGAGAAGCAGATACACAACCTCTGTATTGACACGCATGGCATTCAAGCCGGACTATCGCACCGTCACAGCGATGCTAGACGAGGGTGTGACTCTGGCCACATGCCTGACATACAGAGGACACCACAGTGTATTCGAGATTCTGCGAACACTGGAGGGCATGCGTGAAGAACGGGCCAACATTGTTGACTGGTGCCCCACGGCTTTCAAGGTGGCATACACGCCTCAACCCCCAGTCCTGATCCCCGGGATGGGACCAGAAAAGATAGTCAGATCATTATTCATGATTACCAACAGCACTGCCATATCTGAAGTCTTCAGCAGAGCTGAAATAGCATTTCTAAACTTATTCTCCAAGCGAGCGTTCTTGCATTGGTAATTACCATGAATTTGAGTGGAAATACCTCATTTCAAATGTGAGGAAAACTCTAAAATGACGAACATCCTCCCGGAGAATAGAAGCACACCTAAGTCGCAACTGACCTTTCTTTCACCTAGACTACACTCAGATAACCAAACACCTCAAGCAAAGTTATACACACTAGCTAAAATAAGCCAGCTGTGGCGGTAAGCCCACTTAGCAGGAAACTGATCGCCAGCCAAATATAGGGATCAATGTGTGCATAATCACATCATTTCGATGAAAGTTTAGGCGGAACATAAAAAGCAATTCCAAAACCATGGCATATTTAGATACTAGAGTGTGATCTACTTCTACCATTAAGGTATGTGGGTGAAGGGATGGAGATGGAGGAGTTCACTGACGCATTGGAGAAAGTGCGCAATACGGCGGCAGATATCATAGCTCTTGAAACCGAAAGCCTGAACGCAATGCAAGCAACCAAAAGAGGCGACGATGAAGAGGAGGAAGAAGAAGGTGAAGACATCGAGGAGGGATGTGAAGGGCGCGAAGAAGGTGACGTAGGCCACTCAACAACCACAAGACGTGCTGGAACTCGTGCTGCCGCACGAAGACGCCTCGGCACGCGAGGAGGCACAGATACAACGATACCCCCACTCTATCAACTAATGAACTATCCAGAGTGCCCAGTAGAGCAGGAACCAATCCTGCAGTCAAGGCCACGAATAAGGAGAAATAGAAACAGGGCATCATTGAGAGAACAAATGGAGGCAGCAAGCCTCGCACCACGGGACTGTCCATGCCATGCAGACAACCAATGATGCATAAATGGTTGATCACACTTCCAGAGGAATTAACTCCAAGGGAAGCCACCTTATTTTCACACATTCAACCACAGAAACACCCCACAAAAAAAAACTGCAACTGACAAGCATGACAAATAAAGGTCGTCAAAATTTGTGTTCTTCGCTCCAGTCTGGGAAGACAGCCCACTGTTGCCTACCACTGCGGAGTGTACACCTGTAGGCGAAAACAATTAGGGCCCAACAAGGCACGCGAAATCACCACGAGAAAAAACACGGTCATAGTCCACTTAAAACGTATCACACGACTATAAAACCAGAATAATAACCAGCAACGACCCAACGATGTAATTTGAGCCCCGTCTTGAGAGTCATATG